TACTAAGCTGACCATGAAGATTAAAACAGAAAATGCGGAATGGAAAGGGCTGCTTTATAATTCTTTAAGAGGGACCTTCATTTGTATTGCCCCTAATCACATGCTGACCCTTTTCATAATTAACAATCACGCCTTCAGAGTGAATGGAAGTGTTATATTCAGTATTTGTCTGCATACGTGTTATAATGACAGACAGCACTGCTAGCTTGGCAGAGAAATAGTGTGTATGAGAGAAGCGTAAGAGAAGCGCAGTGGATTGTAAGAGTTGCAGAGTCCAAGCTGAAAGGCAGCTCTGCATGTCTGAAGTGACTGGGACTCCATCCATACACGCAGCCCTGCAAGGGCCGTGCAGTTGCTATGAAAGGCAGGTTTTGAGGGATGTTTCTGCCTCGTAACTTTTAAATTGTGCAGTCATGGTTGTCTGGCTTCTGTTGGTCAGCTCCACAGTGCAGCAGCATTAGACCTCAGTGCTACCCAGCACAACCTGATTGTTCTTCAGTCTCACTTAGTACACAAATAAATGCCCATAGTTTAGAAAACATGTCTCAGTACATCTTAAAAAATTCACATTTTAACGACACATGCAGCCATTTGTTGTAAAGGATCCCAAAGACCTTCCTAGATGGTGCATATCCTGCTCTTGTGCCAAACTGTTGCAGTTTGGTTTGCAAACAAATTGAAGAAATAGGCAAGTTCCTCGCTATATCTTTGTATAAGGATACTGATGATGTTAGTGCCAGGTAGAGAAATAAGAAGTCAGACAGGTAGAGTTCCTAGGTGGAATCAGTGAAATATTGTGATTATTAAAATATGAAAATAAGTATGTACCCTACTGAGTTATGGCTATAAATGAGCTCAGCTGCACCGCTCACAAGGATGAAATAGGTGTAAGAAATGTAAAACAAACCAAAAAAAAAAAAAAAAAAAAAAAAAAAAAANCAGAAGGGAGCTTATAGGATATAAATGACAGTTATACAGAGTTTAGGTACTATGCAATGATACTATGTGGTTTCTCTATTCTAAAACCATTTCCCAGTATTTTAGCTCAAGTGATAAATAAGACTCAAAAGATTTTCTTCATCTTTAAAACTGAAACTGTACACCGGGAGCTGGAGGTGGGTTATGCCTTTCTAAATAGGGACCACTAATAGTAATTTTTAACTGTGGACCTAGTTAAGTGGACTTTTTGTGTAGTTGAAGGAGGAATAGCTTACTGCCAGTAAGCATACATATATTTGCCTTTATGTTTGTAGTGTTAAAATGAAATATTTATCAGATTAGTTTTCAATATCAACACAGAAAAAAATATGCCATCCTCCTGTTTAATATGCTGTTCGGATGCCTACATACATAAACTACTGCTCAAATTCAGAGAGCCGTCGTGCATTATGCACTGAAAGTAAATAAGGCGTAGGCTCACCATCAGGAGCCAGGTTCATTTAGCTTCAACAACAGACAGAGCAAGTTTCACATGTTAGCACCAACAGGAAAAAAAAACCTCCAAAATTAAGCAACCACTAAAATTTATAGCAATGCAGACCAAGAGCAGGGAAATCTAAATTCACTCTTAAAATGCCCCATATTTTGTAGTACTGTTTGGTTTCAGAGGAGAGCGTTGCAGGGAGCTGGGTGTGTGCTAAGGGATTCTCGCACTGTGCAAGCTGGAGCCAGGAAGCCCTTTGCGGACGGGAGGAGGTCGGCGGCTGCTTGACGGCTGCAGCACACGGGTGCTGCAGTGTCACATGAAGTGTCACTGCCAGARAGACGGCTTTGAGGGGCTCCTCAAATGGGCTCAGCGAGAATTAAAGACACTTGTCCATTACCTGTGCTCGCTTTGTAATGGGGAGTAAACCTCTGGTAACCAGAGATAAGAAACAGCTGTTCTCAGCCCTTGGACTTGGTCCAGCAATAAAATGRTTATTCTCTTTGCAGGGCCGTGGAAAGTACCACATATTTCGTCAGCTCCAATTTATGCAAGACTAGAATCATCCAGGAAAGCAAAAACTGTATTATAGACAGCTTCACAACAATCTCTTGAAGGAACACTAAATCCAATTATGCAGAACATCACGGAACTGTGTGTTATTTCTAAAGCACTTGGTTCTCATGAAAGCCAAGTATTTCTTCGTCTTTTAATATATCAAGCACACTATCGTATGTAAGATTCTGCGATAGTAAGTTATGACTGCAGAGCTCTTACCCAGATTAATTCGGGAGCAAAGGAAAAAATATATCTTCCAAAAAATATGCAACAACCTGTTCTATCTATTATTTTTTTAATTAAAAGGAAATCTTAAAGTGTAAGAACTGTAGTTTGGTGGTGTTCTCTTTAGGAATATTAATGATTGTTTGGGGAAAAGGATATGGAAGAAGGTCCATTTTTAGTTAATAGTGAGATATATTTATTCTAGAAAATTTTAGTATAATCCTATTCAAATCAGTCCTCAGATAATACCAGTTCCTGAGGGTAAAGAACCTTCACATTGCCACTGAGTAGATCTTTTAAAGATATCTGATGGGGCACATACTAGCACACAGTTTGGTGTTATTTAACAACAGTATATAAAGAAATCACTGAGCCACTGATAATATAAGGTTTAATTGTCGCCTCTATCTAACCCCTGGCTTCAGGTTCCTGTCCCATTTTAGGCCATGGAGAATATTGGAGGAGTCATCAAAAATAAAATTAAACCAATTTATGTTCTTAGCAAYGGACAGGATAATTAAGCATCACAGACAAGAATACAAGAGTTTCAGATGAAACATCACCTAAACAGCAGCAAGGAGGAGAATGTGCTTCCTTGTTTTTTTCTGGTTAACATCCAAACATTTCATGTTTTTAAATRTTGGTTGCAGTTGCATCCATTATGTAACAGGTTTCACCTTTACATGGTTTGAGGCTGCACGTGGTACTCAGATCCTGAGAAACTCTGTGATTTAGGCTCACTGCTAGCACTGCCAACAGCAGCAACGCAATGCATGGCAACCTTGGTCTGCAAAGTTGTTCAGCTGTATAACGCATGAGCACCGAGCAAAATGGCACTTCCAGTCTGAAGAAGAGGTATTTTATGCTGTATAACTTAAGTGTGTATTTAAATATTTGTATTTGAAAATGTAGAACTGTGCAGTTCTGTGCTTTTGAGTATATGGGTTATGACACACTCTTCAATGGCATTAGAGTCTACTATTTTCCCATGGTAGCTAATGTTCCCATGGAAAAATGCAAATTCTGTATTTATCGCTCATGCTGAGATTAGCTGTTTCCATGGGTGAACCATTCAAATATAATTCCGCTTTTCTTCTTTCAAGACTGCGGGAATGTAAGCAATAGGGAGGTGGCCCAGGGTAGCTTGGGGCTGAGGACGCTACCAGCAGATGCTGCAGTGGCCTTTGCAGGACTCTTAGGCCACCAGTGATGTGAAACATTATTAGCAAATTCACACTGCTCCCAGGCATCGGGCTTCCTTTCCCTACCTCCTCAGCACTGCCCAGAGCCCTCTGGCAGCGCGTTGCCCATTCCCTTGTTTCTGGCTGCCTTTTCGGAATATCTGGAGGGCTCCAGGCTACTCCTCTGCTGCYGTTGGATCTCCTTTCTCTGGGGGGGCTCCCTCACCCCCTTCCAGTCTCTCTTCCGAGTCCATGTGTGTGCAAGTCTACTGAAATAAAGAGAACTGATACTGCTATTTTTATAAACATGCGTCATTTCTTTCCTCCAACTCCTGTTGCCTGCGTTTCCAGATGGGAGCAATAGGGGAAGAGGAAATGTTGACTTCTGTGAATCTGGTCCAAATTGTACCAGAAATTTGTATTGGAACAAACTGTAAGAAATGAAGGTTAATTTTACTTGTAAGTATAGTGATTTCTTGGTTTTCCTGAAGCACCTGCAGCTTGGGAGTGACATTTTTGGAGTATATTTTGTATGAGAGAGAGAGAGAGAAAGAAAATACTCTGCACCAAATGAGCCGTAGAGCTCCTTGAGCCTAGGTAAAAATTATTTTCCATTGTGAACAGCAGGGGTCATTAAAAAGAAGGGTTACACTGGATGAAGCAAATAGTCATTTTTTTTCTATTTTCTTCTTCCAATGTAAAGAATTGACTATATTAAAAAAAGAAAATCTTTGTTCTTATTGTCCTTGAAAGATAACAAACTAAATAAAAAGTGAGTTTTCTGCTTACGGCCTGGACTATAAGACAGTTCTACCTCTGATAAATTCACATTATTTGAAATAGTTTTGCCTACGGTGGSTTTTATATTAAACTTTGTTATAAAAAATCGCAATACATTGTAAGCTGATGTTGACATTTAACACTGTGATAGTCATAAGTGAGTAGTGTCATGCCCTTCTATTCTAACGTGGATTTATTTATTTATTTAGTGATCACATCGATATTTTCTACATGCATTGCTATTCTACATGCAGCCAGTAATTCAGATTGGTGGAAATAAGAGTGATTTTTTTCACCTGTTTGGAGCAACTAAACAAGAGAATAAACAATATTCTGGTCTGGCATCTCATTTTATAGCTTCACTCAAAATGTAAACAAGAGGGTAATTTCATTCTTAGAAGGACGCAAAAAGCTGATCAAACAGGGAAAGAAATTGAAGAAAACCCAGTCAAACGCATTAGTAGGAGGAACCTTATAAGAGAGCACACCAGGAAGATATGTTGCTTGTTCTGCTTCTTATCTGTCCTTCAAGTTTAGTAGTTGAGGATTTTTTTTTTTTTTGCATTTATCTTTGCAGCCGAATGAGTTCAATTTCACTCAGATTAGGACCAAAATTTCAGAACAGCAGGTTAATCCTTTCTGCCTTCACGGGCAGCTGAGCAAACAGGCCCGTATCAGCGTGGCCGAGTGTAAAATTGTAATTCCAGAGATTAATGTTGTCTCTCCTGTTTGCTTTGAACCTGACCTCCGTGCTTCTCTTCTCGGCGTGCTGGTGTGTGTGAACATTCACGTGCAGTTACTGATTCATCTCTGTGTTTGTCTATTGTTAACAGCCTCTGTCCAAGGCCCCTGGGAGAGGGCCATCTCGCCGAACAAAGTGCCCTACTATATCAAGTGAGTATCGCTCGTTATTCATTCTGGTTATTTACAGCTGTCATTAAAGTGCATGGTTGGTAATTTTCTTAGATTGGCTGGGCCTGTTCTTGTGTCGTCTGTGTGTGACAAACAAAAGGAGTGAACAATAAGTGTCACAGAAAAAAATGTATCTTACGTCCTTTAAAAGCACAATAGGATACACTGTTTTGTGGGAAAGTTGATTCATTTTATGCRTCCTTAGCAGTCACCTGCAAACTGAAGTCAACTTTTGGGGTATCTGGGCTATATCTGAGTCTGTTCTGTTATCCACATAGGAGTATGTACGGCAGGATGTGCAAGACTGAAAACATTCAGAATGTTGGTATTTATTTGGAGTTTTGATGTTGGAAAGCAGGGACGTGTTGCAGCTGTGAATCTGGTGCACTTCTGCTTTGACCTTGCAGTGCACATCCTTTAAACAGTGAGTTCCTGTAGAGAGGGTACAGAGCAAAATCTCTTACTGAGTCAAAACAAGGGACAAATTAATCCCTATAGACTGGAAGTTCCTTTAAACTCTAGTTCCCAAAGTAAACTAGTAYGTTTTAAGAGTGAGGTGAGCTTAACAATGAGAGGAAATTAAAGAGACAACACAAAAAACGTTGGATGCACCTGCTTCTAGTGTCCTAAAAAGACCCACCATGTGGTTACAGGGAATGAAGTTTTAATACATTTTTCCCTCTTGCTGTAGATCTTCATTTGCAATGTGTGCCATGAATTTTTCAGGTATGACTTCCTGGAGAAAAAGGTGATGAACTACCTGTGATAAAGACTGTAGTGCACATAACTGGAAGTCAGGAGTATTTTAACAGACATATTCACATAGTCACTCTTTTCCTGTTCCCAACACACTTCTCCGGCTTGGCCAGTGCACTCAAGGCCCATTCTTACAGTGGCAATTCAGCTGCAGTTTTCACAGCTTAGTTGAACCGTTGATATGGCCACAGAATGGACACTTTATGAAGAAAACTAGCAGTCTGTAGTACAGAGAGCTATAGTTACAACTGGTTGACGCTTCTCTGGCATCGCCTTAAGTTTTGGGGTTTTTTCTTTTCCTTTTTTTTTTTTTTTTTAATTTGCCTCTAAATAACTAACTTGCTATAAAGAGCTGGAAAGCTCTTTCAAGGAAGAGGAGAGAGGGGAGTCTATGGAGTGAAAGCACCTTGAAGGTGTATGAGCCACCTTTTATGGTACTCCAGCTAAGGGAGAGGAAGACACCTCTTTCTCTTCCCCATGGCATGAGTTGCTGGCTGCTGAGAAGTCTTGGCCATTCTCAGGAAAGGCCCAGGCTCTGTTTCATACTGCGCTTCCCCCTTCGTTTGGTGCCACTTGCACCCAGCAGCAGTGGGAAAGGTGACCTGTCATTCTAAAATGATGGCGGGGACTTTTCCTTGTTAGCTTTTGGTGTCAACTTTTGTAATACATCTTTTTTTTCCAGAACATTTGCAAAGTCAATGGAATKCATTGGTTTTATTCTGTTCACTTGGAAGATATCTTAATAACCATAAGAAGTTATAACTGTACTATATTAATTAATAATGAAAGTTTAATTCAGTTACATGTTTTATACAAAAGCTTGCTGTCTTTGAGATGAAAAACAAATATTTAAAAATTTTATGTATCTTTGCAAATTTTTACATCTTTGCATTCCTTTCTCTGGTTCTCTTCAGTCATTTTTCTTATCCTTTATTCTAATCACTCTTATTTAATACTACCACACAACCGAATTGCTTGTTTTMTGTACCATTTCAGTTTTCAAACATACCGTATTTTCTTTATTTGTTCATCTCTAACCTTTCTATAAATCGTTAATTCTGTAACAGAGCTGCCATGAAGACTGGGCAGACACAGATAGGATTCTTTTACTGTGTGTATGATTTTCCTTTCTATCATCAAGGCAGAATATTGCTGCTAGGCTCCCGTGTTAACCAGATTTGCCACACTGGTTATTGTTTCTCATTTTATCAGGTTGTCTTGTGATGTTTAAGTGTTTTATCTCACCGTTTTCACATTTGCAATGAAACAGCATTTCACGAGCCCATAAATCAGGTCCTACTTAATACTAAATCCTCAACGGCAATATTTACTTACTGCAGGTAACTTTAAGCCTTTCGATTTTCCTAGTTAATATTTCATTTTTACAGAGCTGATTACTCAGCTAGTAAGCGACTAGTTGCCTCAGAAGCCTGTATTCCCKCCCCCAGTTCCCTCCGAGTTACTGGCGCCAGCGCTTTGTGCAGAGGATACTGGCACAGGCGTCATTGCCACTGCAGAGGACAGTCAGCAGCAGCGTACAGCCCGTGCCCGCTGCCTTTGCCCGCTGCCTGCCCGCGTCCCCGCCGGGGTGCAGCTTCTCGGCCCACTCGGCCTGGCGCAAACCGCAGCGCTAGCGGCCGCCTTCGGCCTGGGCTGCTCCTGCCCTTTTCTGCGCTTGCTTCCTCATGGAAATGACAAGCCGGGCCAGCGGCTCCCGCTCACTTGCCCCGTTCCCCGGTGCGTTGGGACGCGGTGTTTTTGTGTTGCAGGATATGGGCCGTGTCGCGGCTCCCTCAGTGGCAAGTGGACGCTCCTGTCGGCCTGCTGAGCGCTTGCCCAGTGCATGAGGTGCTAGTGAGGGGGAACATGAAGAAGAACCTTCCTTTCTCTCTTTTGCCTCTGAATTAAAGCATGTAAAATTGTTCCAGAACACATTCTGTCCAACCCTTTTCTTTTTGAGCTTTCTTTTCCTCTCAGTATGCTCTTTGCATCTAATAAAGGATTAAAAGGTTTCATTAGATTAAAAAGGGAGAGGGAAAATGAAAAATAGTTTTCACTTTAATCACTCCCGTTCTGTGAGGCCCTGATCTTGGAGGACGGATTGCAGGGCGGCCCGGAAAATGGGGACACAGAAGCAGCGAGAGAGAGGTCTGTGCTCCTTACTGCCGTTTTAAATTTAAAAAAAAGTGTAAAAAACCACAAAGTTTGTGAGAAAAGTCGCCTCATGGGCTGTTCCTGGGCTCTCCAAAGAGCTGGCCTGTTGCACAGGGCGGAGAGACCCCTCTTGCCTGGGGAGAGAAGGGGGCAGGTCTGCAACATGCTTTTGTCTGAGGAAATTGGTAGTCACRAGCTGGCACAATGTTGAAATTTAGTCATTTTGAGTTCTCTATTTGTATTAGTCTTTGACATCATCCTTCTTCTGTTAACCAAGTTGCCAGTTAATAGTGTCTGCCTCCTCACCCTCTTGCCATGACCTCTCTCGAAGGATATAAAAAGCTTCTGCAAGAATAGAGTAGCYTTTCATCTCAGTCCGTCTCGCAGAGGAAGCCTTCCAAGTTATTTTCCAGGCAAGCTTATTTTCTTATCCACATTATAGCAGTTCAGTGAACTTTGTCCTGCGGGGGACACTGCTGAATTCTCAGGAGCATCGATTTGACTCCTTGAGAAGATCCATACGAGACTATCCGTACAAATTAGCTGTGTGGCGAGAAATATCCATCTCTGCTTTTTAGCTGCCTTCCACATTGTAGTTTCCTATAAGAGTATTTCACTTATATTGAATCTGCCAGCTGCTGACACACGTTTCTGTTAGTTTTAGGTTTCTGCAGTCTCTCTGTATTCCTTGCTAGAGGAAGAGTGGGCCAGTTTCTATGAACATGCTTCCTTGTGTCTTAATTTTTAATCTCACTTTTAATTGCTGTTTAGCCATGCAGAATTCGAGCTCAGAAATAGCCAAGGGTTTTCGTTGTGAAAGAAAACAGATTAAAGCCATCATTAAAAATGATGGTTTTACTGTTTTTCAGTTTAGAGGAAAGGGTAAATGAATCTCTCTGAATTAAATTCTCCTAAGATAAAATAAAGCAAAGAGTCGCTGTTCTGCTAAAATCATTTGGGTTAATTGTTTCTTCTGCAGAACGTAGATAAGTAGGAGACTCAAAAGGAAGTAGGAAATATCTGTCAGAGCAGAGGGAGACATGGAGAACCATAAATAAGTAATGTATGATTATGTATGTGTAGTGAGTAAAGCTGTGAACAAGCTATGCAAACCATGTATATGGATGACAGTTAGCCCAACCACCAACTACCAAAAATGTAATATTTTGACTTCTTAAAAGCATCGCTATTACAATCTTTACCACGCTTTCAGTTTTGAACTGCATAGCAAAACTGTAACTATTCTTCTGGAAAAAAAATATATGATACTGCCTGTGAGAGATGCAAATTATCATGCTGTCTAGCTTTAACTAAATACCTGATATTTTCAAGAGGTTTGTATCACTTGTGCAACTGTGAAGCACTGGTTACCAAAACTTGCTACAAAAATTTAAGCTCTGAGCATAAATAAAGAATCCTGAGCCTTTACCTGCCTTTCGGAGAGCACTGCGGGTGGAAGCAGGGATGCTCCCACGGATGGAGCAGGAGCACTCGGGGTTCTGCTCTGCGTCACCATCTGACACCAGGAGTCTGCAGCCCCCACACGGGAGGGAACCGGAGGAGATTTAGTTTCTTTTGAAAGGAATCGTAAGTCCTCAACAGTCATTTTATTTATGTATTTATTTGGGTTGCTCTAAGGGATAGGTGCAGAAGTGGGGTACAAGAGCTGTAGCCTCCAGCGCTGGAGGGGCAATRAGTGGCTGAAACCACGAGCGTTTCTTTGCGTTGCTTTGCACTTCTCTGCACCTCTTTGCGCTTCTTTCCAATGCTGTTTTGGTTAAGGGAGGTGCTTATTTTACATATCAGAAAGCAACTTCTTCATACACTTCACTTTGGTCCTATTCTTCATGGTCTTGGTATCCTACTTAAGTGGATGATGTATTTTGTAGGATGGGCCATGAAGCTCGCTCAGTATACAATTTGATGGAGAGGACGCAGGGGTTCGCATTACAGAGAAGGTAGAAAAAATGCAGGGGTAACTTCTGCATGGCTTAAATCCAGAAATGTGTGGTACAAGTGATGTTGCTGTTTAGGCAGGCATTGGCCTTCCTGGCTTGTTTGCTCAGTTTAAT